CCGGCTGCTGCTGGCGAGGGCATTGCCTGCCCCTTTCGGCTTGGGGCAGGGTATTGTGTCTTAAATTTGTTGCTTATAAATACCTGCTGGCCAGGGCTCTTAAAGGCCAGCCACAATCTGAGCACGTGTTTTGGGGTGGCCTTATGAGGCCAGCATGCTGGTGAGCCCCAAGTGCTCGCCTCTCGGATCAGCTCTCCCGGAGGTGGCCCAGGGCACTGGTGCCATGCCAGCCTTGTGAGCAGGGCTTGAGCCGTGCTGTGGCCTGTTGCATGCCAGGGAGCGGGGAGGCAGCCGTTTGCGTTCAGCTGAAGCAATACTTTGTTCTTTGCAGATCTTTGAACCCCATCTGGGTCATCGCCAAGTTGGTTCAAGATGCCACCGGCCATCGGAGGCCCTGTGGGATACACTCCTCCTGAAGGAGGATGGGGATGGGCCGTGGTCATCGGAGCCTTCATCTCCATTGGGTTTTCCTATGCCTTCCCCAAATCCATCACAGTGTTCTTCAAAGAGATTGAGGTCATCTTCAATGCGTCCAGCAGCAAAGTCTCATGGATCTCTTCCATCATGCTGGCTGTTATGTATGCAGGAGGTAAGTGGACTGGAGGCAGCAGTACACATGCTCGTGCGTTCCACTACAGGATGCGGCTCTCCTGCTGGGTCTGGTTCGCACCTTGCTGTAGTGACAACAATCAAAACTTTGCTAAAAGTTGGAATTCTCTCCTTATGCGAGAGCAAAACTTCCCTTAGCGAGCTTGCTTGAAGGAGGTTGCTCAAAAAGTTCTATTTAATGCCCAGAATGCAAAAACCGGGTTAATCTGTCCTCCTCTGCAAAGCTGTAAGTAAAGTCTTTCCGGGGAATTACGACTTGTGTAATTCTGCCCTTGTCCCTGTTACAGCACGTTGCAGATGCTGTGTCTGCTTCCAGCGCCTGCCCGAAGGCCAGGGGAGCCGCTGTGCCATGCGTAGGAGCCCAGCTCAGGGGGTCTCTTTCTTTTAGATAAGACATCGGGTTTTGGGGTTGTTTTTATTCAGCAAACAGTGGCTGTATCTAGGGTTCTGTCCCCAGTTTCTGGTCAGCTCTGATGGCTCAGCTGTGCTCTGGAGTGCACTGAAACCTGGTGCTGCTTGTTCTTCCTCGCTGGTGCTGAGCAGCGCCGTAGGCAGCGTGTGCTGTTTGAGAGTGGCAGTGTGTACTGGAAGTACACAGACATGAGCAGAATAAAGCAAAACTACTTAAACTGAAGCAGCTCCCCTCCTCCATCCTTCAGAAACTGCTTCTTGGAGTATTTTAATCCCCAGGCTGTGTGCTTTATGCTTGTCTTTAACTGGTGAGGAGCAGGCGGAGTGCTCCCTGCAGGGTGATGCGCTCCCAGCTCTCTCCTTGCCGATCTCAACCCCCGGAGTCTCGTACCCGCCTGCAAATGCAGCTTTGCACAGGGTCGCTTGGCTGAAAGAAACTCTTATTGGGAGCCTGCTGTTGTGTCCACTTCAGAGGCAAATCGGCGCTTGTACCGCTGCCATTCCCAGCTGGCGAACTGCCCACGTCCTCGTTGCATTTGTGCATCAAAAGGAGCTGACATCAGCGCCTGGCTAAGCACGAGGCTTTTCCTTTGGGGGAACAGGCATGGCTTTGTCCTTGCTCAGCTAGTGAAGCGACCAGCACATTTCCCTGCCCCGGTGTTATAACAAGCTTGTAAACCATGTAACTGCCTTAATGAGACTCAATCTGGGCCGTTCCTCCTCTCCTAATAGCTCAGAGCTGGTCCCTCTGGGTGCCCCAGGAGCGGCACTGCCTGGAGCTGCCCGGCAGTGGGGCTGAGAGCTCCCTCCTCCAGTCCTGGGGTCGTCCCCTGTCCCCCTCCCTCCCTGCTGGCGCTGTCTCTCCCGCTCCCCTTGAACTGTTGCCATTAAATCCCAGCAGCTTGCCAGTCTTGAACCACTTGCCTGTAAGCCGGTGGCAGGGATGCTAAAGGTACCCCCCACCTGCCCAGGTGCATCCCCTGGCTGCTGGAGCATGGGAACGTGCTGCTGGCCCACTCGCTCGTTCCAGGGCTCCTGCAGCCTGCCCCCACGGTCTGAATTGCGCTGGAGCGGTCACAGTGCGTATCCTATTCTCCCTGTCCCCTGGGGCACCTTCCCGTAGGAACTGCATGCTTGCTTGGAGACAAAAAAAGTAGCTCATGCTCTGGCAAAAGGTCCTGGGCTGACGGTATCGTGCAGAGCTGGGGCAGCTCCTGTCCTGGGTGGGGTGGGGGTGGCGGAACAGCATGTCCTGCAGGCCCATGCAGCTGCCCTGTGCAATCACCATCGGGGTACGTGGATGTAATGATCTCAAATGCCCCTTTCTCAGCTCCGCATTAGGATTAGGGAGGACTCAGGTTCCATTACTTAAGGCTTTTTTGACAGCATGAATAGTCAAAATAGATCAGGTAGCATTCAGTCAGAAATGCTTCATGTGAATCTATAAAATAGGAGTGAGTGTGAATTCTTTTTTTTTTCTTTTAATTAAAAAAAAGAGAGGGGAATTGCCACCAGGGTACACAATGCTGCCCAGCCAGGAGGCTTCTTGCTAGCTGCCCTTGGAGCCTGCCGCTCCCGGCTGGATTTCCGGGAGGAAAGGCTGCTGCTGCCTTTAGACCCTGGCCAGGGGCAGCACATTTGAGTTCAAGGTACAGGTTTTACAAAGTGCTGAGCTCTCTGCGGGGAAGCGTGTGGGGCTTGGGGTGATGTGGCAGGGCCCCCCCTGCCCCCCACCCGCGCGC